CAAAGCGGAGGTCGGTCATGATCTTAGGCCTTAGAGGTTGAACCATCAATTTTCTTGCCGATATGTCGGTTGGTAGCATCCGCAAGCTATTTGCTTGGAAGCTTTCTCTTCACGACCGCCCATATTGTCCGATTACGAGAATTTTGCCCGAGCGGTACACCCAATTGCAGCTTACGCTTCTTGGACTTATGCACACCAATAGCATCTAAGCTAATTCCAAACAGGACCGCTGACCGCTCGATGTATGTTTTGCATGGATTAACATGCGACCTTATGATTCCACAGGAGCGGCCATTGCACTCTTATCACCAAAAGGGATGTAGAAATAGAAAAACCATCTAGCTTGGTTGGTTCAGTAGCCGCGTGCTCAACTTGTCTCCCATGAAATTACGAAGTTCAAATCGATTGCGAGTGACTGACTGACTGACTTTTGTTCATGGGTGCTCCTATGTTGTATGGATGGTTATGGACCATTGACACGCGCGCGCGTGGGACTAGAATGATGGGGTCGCGTACCCTTGGACCCTCGAGTGGGCTGGTGCTAAATAAATATGGTTCAATTCCAACATCTTGTAATGTTTGTAAGATTCTCAGGATTAACTTTGGTCACTTTAACCCTCCTTTTTGCTGATAAATAATCCAAATATATGAAGAAAAAACATGCATGAATGCACACTTGCACTAAAAGAATGGCCGGAGAATCGGATTATACTTGAGTGGCTTCACTCAACTTCACCTTTACTTACAACTTGCATCCTCTACTTTCAACACCCTATACTTTGGATCTAAGATTTCAATCTACTCTTGAAATCTTCAAGCTTAATGCCATTAACTGGAACTTGAGGGCAATCGAGGTGTTAAACTGCATGGTTTTCGACCTAAATGATCTGAAAGAGTTTTTAGGGTATAGTTTTCTCCAACCATATCCCTAATTGGTGAATTACAACTTAGGAAAATCACCAACACGTTTCGACTAAATATAAACACAGGCGACGTCATGTCCGTAACCCAACAACAAAGACTGGTCAAATCTTAAGGTGCAAAGTTGCTTTTTCTTCAAATCTTGAGATACATGCGCAATTTTTTTGGAACCGGAAGGTACAAGTTATGAGGGTAAAGTAAAGGATAGTTTTATAACTGTGAAAGAAAAGCTATAGTATTAGCACTAACAACCTATCCTTCCACTACATGCCAAAACAGTATATATCTCCAAAAATTTGTACTATAGCTTCCTAATTTAGGCAAGACGTAAGCACTCTAATTTGCTTCCTAAGGTAATCAATACTCCTTAACCATCCATTGCACCCTCATTATTGTGAACTATGGTGAGTAGAGAATTAGTTAGAATCGAGAATATCCCGTCTTTTTCATTTTCCAAATAGATATCAAAACACGAAATCAATCAATCACGGACACTTTCAAATCCGAAATCACCAATCAATTGATGATTGGTGAAGAGACCCTTCTTTTGTTGGCATCAGCACCACCACCACCATGGTGTGAAATGTTGTTGAATTTCGAGGACTCTCCGGATTCAAGACTGCACCTTAGGCGACAAGAAACCCCCCAGCTATGTGGAGCCCCTTTGCTTTGATTATGTTCGGTGAATTATTGCTCTTGTCACTAACTACTTATTCGTATGTTATTTGTCCTAAGTTCGATATTATATGAACGAAAGGATGAGATGAAAGGCTCTGGTAGTGCTGGCCAGAACTCAATGACATGATAGCAACCCACCACTTATTTTTTGGGCTGAGATGGTCAATTATAAGGTTTGATTAAAGTATTAGTTTTTCCAAATTCTTTGCTTTCTTAAAAGAGAATTTGAGCATTCTCACTCCGCAATCACTTTCGATGTTGATAGTTTTGGAAGCTTTGGTCAATTATTGAATTGATGAGTGAGACAATTTTGCTTTTGGCACTTGGATTTAACAAAACCAATGTTCCCTTTTTCCTATAACTATTTGATACACAAAACTTTCTGTGTGAGTTACTCAATTTTTCCCCTCAAAAAATCATACTCGTGTTTCATTACCACGTCATAATTATTCCAATGATCCATCGGGAAACTAATTTACCCATCCTAATTTTGTCTGCCACGTTATTTACTACACTTAATTTTGTAAATTAATCTTAATGTATCTAGCATCATTCTAACGCATGAACACGCAATCCGAATTTGATTACGTAAAACGAAGTGCCAGCCCTGGTGTAGAATCACTATAAATTCTCTTATTCAACTCCTTCAATTGAACATTGTACTTGTTCGTGTGCATGCATAATTAGACATTAGTAGTTTTAGATAAATAAATTTTTAAAAAAAGCCATTGGTAGAAGCATGAGAACAATTTTGGAATCCGCTAAAAACTGAGACAGAAGCACAACACTCTAGACAATCAAATACTTAGGGATAAACAAAATTATCTTAATTGTGCATTATCCCCTCAGAGGTTTCTTTCTTTCTTTTTTCTTTTTTTTTTTGGGGGGGAAGAATTAACTCCTCTGGTGAGTTATTGGTCAAACTTCAAATTTTCATCACCTCCTATACAACTTGCTTTACCAATTGAGGTATGTACATGTGACCGTAAGAAGAGGGTAGCCCAAAATAAAACCAAAACACAGAAGATTACGCGATGAATAATTCATAGATTAGGATATCGTTCGCAATTCACAAAAAGCTAACCTACAATTAAATCAAACAAATAGGGGCGAGCAAAAATTAATTATTGCTGATCCATAGTCATGAAGGGTCCATTTATTTCATTTTCCTAAAACTAATCACTTGTATCACTTGTAATAATAAACGAACAAAGAAAAATCCATCGTCCACAAAAATATTTAGACGTAAATTTTTATCGATAATGAAATATTTTTCATCGACTAATTTTTCCAAGCGACACAATCGATTATTTTCTAAGAAAATACTTTTCAAATTACTCATTTTTCACGAAACAAATAGTGCCGAAATGTCATTAATCTCTCTCGCTCTTACAAGGTCCGGAAGTCCAACTACCTTTGAAGCTGTATGGACTCGAAGTACCTTTCAATCACTTCGAGCTGCCTAGGGGCCCACTTTTGAAATTAAATCTTCAAGGCCCATTCATCTTTGCTGACGTTATCATTAAATTATTTTTGATGAATTTCTAGTATACTTTATAAGCCCGACTTGCGCTTATGCGGAATCTACGTGAAGATATTCGTGCTTTTAAAATGATAGACTATTATCATATTCTGATATCATAGAAAATAAAGAAAAGAGGGCAGTACGTGCGGTTGAAGAATTAGATGTTTATTGCGCAATTTGGAGGACTTTAGTCGCATAAGATTCATATTCCACTAGTGTCATGGAATGGCTGTTCATGTAAGAAACTCTTGCTCTCGAAAATCGATTTTTATATGTCAAGATCGATGCATGCATTATAAACAGGTGATCAGCAATCGATCAAATATCTCCACACGTGCTACCTAGTTTAGAAGATTCTATAATGTTAATTACGACAATCGGTAAAAAAAAAAAACAATACATAACTCTTAACCTATTTTTGTTGTAGAATTAACACAACCTTTTAAATGTCTAGGAAAAATAATACAGCATTTTACCATTGTTGTGAATTTACAACGAAACTTTTAAACGTCTCGAGAAAATACACGAACTTTTATTACTGTTGACAAATTCAGCATCCGCCGATGTTCCGTCCATTCTCGTCGCCGCCTCTCCCTCGGGTTAGATATGAATCGGTACGAATTTATCGTATAGCGTAATTAACGAAAAGGGTGTTTTGAATTACACGACTTCACGTGATCACAAACCGCAAATGTGATAGGTGAACACGGATCGCCGGCCCTAATTTTTGCTGTCATTCGATATGGAAGTAAACTTTAACTCGCAACAAACCCCCCAAAAAACTCAATAGCTCAAGTCTCTCATCCTTTTCAGCCCTAAATTTCAAATTAATTTCGATGAGAAAGAGTTGCACGAAGTCGTTACGAAGGGCTAACATTCCTTATGTGCATGTTAGCACAACAACAAACACGTTGTTTGACAATGGCAAAACGTTGCGTATTTTTTCTTTCTAGGAAACGCTCTCTACAGTTACGCGTTAGATTTACAATAATGTTTAATAAAAAATTTTGGGTATGTTTGAGAATTCAGTGTTGATCATGCAACAAATGGTTAAAGGTTGTGTACAACTGTCGCTCATAATGTTTCGGGAATTCCGGTTGCACCGGCGTGGAGAAAAGAGGACACCAAAACGGGCCCCCCATCAAACGCGCAGTTCCATCTAGGCTTTTTCGCCTACCGTGATTTCCCTCCGCGGATTATTCTGTCGATAAACATCCTTAAATCGATAATTAAGGTAATAAATCTGATTCGCAACTCGTTCAATTTCCCTTTCGTAAACAGGTCGCAAGTTAAAAGATTAAATTTTTCAAAACAATTAGCAAGTCAATGATTTCTCAAATGCTTCCCAATTCCCATTGGACAGTCCTATGCGACCTCAAAAGAGGGGTATAAAACTCCACACACTATCGACTTTTAGAGGCTATTATTACGCCTGGCTGGCATTCAATTTCAGTCGACTTTCCCGAGAAAACTCTAATCCTCCGAATCTGGCACACTTGAATTCGTACCGTGAAACATATGAGGATAAGTTTTCCATCTGGGTTCAACCCAAAATCCGAAAAGCCACAGGAAAAAAGCACAGCAAACTTTCCTTAAAAGACACGATTTTTGTCCTCATTTTACCCAAAAACTCGACAAATTTTGTAATCGGTTTACTCTCTAATTTCCTCTCCAAAGAAAGTGAATCGTCACTGCTTAAAAGAGAACATCACAGCAAAAGGATCTGGCGGAGAAGGAAAAGACTGGAGAACAATTTTTTTTTTCAGGTTTTTCGAGTTTGAAATTTTCACAATTTTTTTTGTACTCCTTCGTCTTTTGCTAGACCAAAGGCCTGAAGAGACACAGATCAGAGGTTCTTCCATGTCTCGCTCGAGTCTCTCTCTCTCTCTGGTTCTTTCCCCACTGTACATCGCGGCCAAAATTATTTGTTTTTTTAACTCTACTTAAAATTAAAAATAAAGAAAAAAAAAAAAGGAGGAAAAAACGGAGTCCCAGTTTTTTCCCATCTCTTCATAGCATCCTTTTCCCATTTGATTTTTTTATCCCTTCCTTCTTCTTCCTTGTCCGTCTTCACTCGATCTTGCCGATCCCGATTCGCTTCACGACGGCGTTCCTTATGTCGGCCGCCGCGGCCTGCGAGCACATCCCCGCCATGTAGTTCCTTACCTCCGCCCTTATCATATCCTGCATCACCGCCATGAACTCCGCCCTGAACGGCGAGAAGTCGGTTCCGACCCTTGGGGCGGGAGGCGGGTAAGGGAAGATGTTGATGCCGCCGCCGCCGTACCCGCTGGGGTTCTCCGGCAGCGCCACCGCCTGCGGCGGAGCCGGCGTCGGGGCGGGATCCGGCGCCGCGGGCAGTAGGGAGATCGGGTGGGTCGGCTGAGTCAGCTCGGGGGCGACCCGGGTGGAGACCTCGCACGGCTCGGTGACCCCCGGGGGCGACAGGCTCAGCGACGTCGGCGGATCTTCGGAGGACGGGGCCGCCTCGACCGGCGGCGGCACCACCGGGCCGGTCCTCGCGACGGGCCTGTACACGAAGTGGATACTGGAGTCGCTCATGCCGGACCCCGACGGACTCCCGGGGCTCGGGCAAGGCCCGGCGGAGGCCGACCGCTTCGCCGGCCGCTCCCGCGGGCTCAGGTCGGCGCCGTCGCCGTCCTCGTGGGGGAGGAGGGGGGGCGGGGGGGCGGCGGAGCACTTGCGCTTGAGGGTGGAGTTCCAGTGGTTCTTGATGGCATTGTCGGTGCGGCCGGAGAGGAGGCGGGCGATGGTGGCCCACTTGTTGCCGAAGCGGGCGTGGGCACGGGCGATGATGGCGTCCTCGTCGGGGGAGAATGGGCGGTGCTCGACCCCGGGGGAGAGCTGGTTGCACCAGCGGAGGCGGCAGGACTTGCCGGAGCGGCCGGGGACGGAGCGGCTGATGAGGGACCAGTTGCGGGGGCCGTGCCGCTGGACGAGGATGCGGAGGGCCTCGTCCTCCTCGGGGCTCCACGGTCCCTTGATCCGATCCACCTCTCTCCTCGAAGCCATCGATCGAAGCGCACCCGCGACGACGGCTCACCCACCCAAAAAGGAACGATCTTTAGCTCGGATGCACGGCTCGTGAATCGGTGCGTGGGTGAAGAAGAAGAAGGGAGGTTTCGGAGAGAGAGAGAGAGAGAGAGACCAGAGAGGGGAGTAAGGGGAGGAGGGGTATATGAAGGTGGGAAGCGGGGGTGGGGGGTGACCGGTTGGGCCGGTTGGGCCGGTTGGGCCGGTGGAAGGGGGAAGGGGAAGCGGTTGGGGTTGGGATACAGCTGGCGAGGGGAGGGGGGACACGCGTCGGATCTGAGTGTTGCACTGATTTACACAAGTCGCTCTCTCTCTTTTTTTACTTTTCTTCAATTTTCTCTCTTTCTCTCTCTTGTTGGGAGCGTCTGCTGCACTCTCTCTCTCTCTCTCTCTCTCGTAAGTAAATTGAGAGTCGTTCGGAGGGCGAATGATTGCGGCCCCTTTTGACCTTCTTTGCAGCGCTCCCTTATCTCCTCCTCCCTCCTCCCTCTTTTTTTTTTCTTTTCTTTTTTTTTTGTCTCGGTTAAATTTGATGACCCAACGGTTTCGTGGTTTCGATGGAAAAGCATGGACTCGATTAAGGAATTTGAATCTCCCAGACGAGCCTTCGTCACGGAATTCGACGAAAAGAAAAGCCGCTCTTTTTTATTTGTTACTTAAGATGTTGGCATGGGCGGAAATCGTCATTTGATTCATCAAAGTTTAAATTTTTTCGAAGCAGCATTTTCCAGAATATCTCCCTGTTTAGGGAAGTCGTTCTTCTTTTGATAATCTTTTTCGGGTTACAGATGGGTAGTTCCCGTTTGTGCTGACTGGATGGGTGGGTGTATATTCCACTTTTGAATTTCAAAACGGGCAGTTTCCAATTTAGCTCGTTGCGTTTTGTGGATTTTTCTTTTTCGGGGGGACATGAAGTGTAATCTTTAATCCTGGCTAATTTGACGAACAGCACAGATAACATTTCCTTCTTGGGAGAGTTGATCCAGTACACGACTGCTTGCCTGTTGTATCTTTTGAGTAAAAGAAGTACGCTTGTTATTTCACTGCTTGAATTGTTCTTGCACCAAAGACAGCATTTAATTACATCCCGAGTAATTTCGATGCTGATAGACCCGTGACATGGTCGGGTCGGATTTAAGTCGGGTCAAAGATAGTCCAACCCGAATTGACTCATTTAATCTGTTGGACTCATTTTTATGCAATACAAATCTAGTGAATTTTATTCGACCCAACTCATATCATATCCATAGTGCTAGAACACTTATATATTTAACTAAATTTAGGATAGTTTATACCCAAATTGAGGTGAGAGACTATGACCAAAAAAAAAAAAACCTGAGGTGAGAGCATGGAGTGAGTGAATGAAAGTTCGAGATAAAATCATAAAGGTATATTGAGTCTAAGTAAATTGTAAACCCATTTAATATTCATATTATTTTGGGCTTTATCATTTTAAACTCATTTATAACCCATTTACTGAATATAACAAACTAAATAACAACTAAATAAGCAGCTACCCACATTTTCTAGGGTTTTCAGCTCCCTATGTTTCTTCCTGACGATATGCCAAAATTACATTATTTCACCTTTTAGAAAAATTAGGATTTAAATGAATTATTGAAAAGCTTTAGTTTTTAGTGTCCTTTTCCCCAATGGAAAATAGTCTTGATTCTAAACTTGAGGTTTGTTTAGTTTCATTTATTGCGGCTTTGAAAAATTGCACGCGCGCCAAACAAATTGTTTCAATATTTTCATGACGATTTTATGACCGAAAACTCTTAAAATTACATCAAAATTGTACATCGAAACTTGATCAATTTGATTAGATCCTCATTAATACACTTAATTTCCCATAGTGATCTCTTTTAGGTGCATATCGGAAGAAGGGCATCTCGATTCCATACCTTATACTGAGTATTTGTTGTTAGTCGTTAAGTTAACAATTACTATCCGGAAAAAAAAAAACTAGATTGTTGCATTGGTAAATCATATCTTAAATTTGCTCCTCTCAATGACCCGATACCAGTTAGGCGTCGAGGGGCAACCATTTCTAAAACTATGCGAGGATTTGGCATTATAGGTATAATATAACAATCGAGAAGACATAAAAAACGAAATCGAGGTAAAGGTTATCAAGACAAGTCTAGAAAAAACGATCAAATCGCACGTTCCAAAAATAAATTAGACGTGCACAATGAAAATACATTCCGGGTCAAGGATAATTTCGAGCACAATCCAGAACTTTTGTGGGGGGTCAAATCACACAATCCACAAAATCTCCGGGTCAAAAGTGTGAAAAGAGCTCCAGAAGGAGGACTCCCCAACAATAAAACGGTTCGAGTGGGATGAAAAAAAAAACAAAAGAAGAAGAAAGCACAAATCCAAGGCGCAAAGGGACACGGGAAAAGTCCACATCACCCACTGCATCCCCCATCACTTCAATATGATATGCATGGGCCGGTGGAGGCGAGTGCGCCACACGCTCCCACGCGAGCGCGTGCCCCAGCAAACCACGGGCCTCGCCTTCCCCGCAGCAGTAACAGCAGCAGCAGCAGCAGCAAGCAGCGAGCAAACCGGCACTGTTCTGGAAGTTAATGGAAACCGAAACACCTAACATAACCATAATTAATTAATGACAAAACAAAGAATATCGCGAGACCAAAAACACGTCATTGAATAATTTAATGATTTTTTTTTTCTCTCGAGCGGATAATAACTAACGGTTAAGCCTGCAGGCTGCAGGGTCCGACTTTTGACCGGAGACTTCTTCCAGGCTGTCGAGCATTATCGCTGCTGTCCTGTCCGCTCTGTGTCGCGTATAAGATAATATATATAAATATTTATTTATTTATTTATTTTATTTTATCATCAAAGGAGGAACCAAACCTTAAATGCGATTAAGGAAAAATAAAGAACCCAACGGCAGCACGGAACTGCTGAGCTGGCGCAAAACGACAAGAGCGGTCGCCGATTCGGAGGGCGAAGTGCCGATGGCGATGCCACCCTGTCAGGTCCAGCCTGGGGGACCTCCCACCGCAACGTAACGGCCTTTTCCTCCTCCCCCCTTCCCCCGCCCGGCCCGACCCGACCCGACCCGAAAACTCCCACCGACACCTGACCATAACCCGTGCTCCCCAACCAACCACCCCGCGTACGACCGAAACCGCCTCGTCCGGTCATGCATATTTAGCTCTCTTCTTTTGGTAAGGACCGTTCCTCCCCATATGTGTACTTGTTGTTGATGGGTCGATTTTGAACGTTGATTGTACACACGAGGCAAGGAAAGCAATTTATTTGAAAATTATTAACTTCTTCTTCTTCTTCTTCTTTAACTAGTTGGCAAATGCTTTGTTAACGAAGCCACGCATGCCCTTCAAAATACCACTGAATCGTATTCGTTGTGGTTCGAAGATATAAGATTAGGGCTTGTTTATACTGATAGCACAAAACACGAGGATAGTCAGCACGTTGAGACCTCATCGAGGTATTGCTCAAGAGGTCGCTCAATATGTGCCTCCGGAACACTAGCTAACAAAACCCATTTTCTGTAACGCAATTAGCATACTTGGGCATATAATTAAACACTCGTTAAAGCACGGTCAAAGATATTATAAGTCGACGCGCACGCTCCCCCACACAGAGGAGGGGACCTTCCACGGAGCTTCGTGGGGACAAGATCTCGAGACCCAATTAATCAAAAGGGGAACCCATTATTTAAGGTCAATCAATTGAGGATTTTGGGAGAGTTAGGGATGGGGATTAGGATTAGGGGAATAAAGAGGATATTTTCGATCTGATTAAATTAATGATTTTTCTTGGGACGAAAATTAAATTAATAATTTAAAAAAGGGTAGAGGTTGGGTGGGAGGATGGTTTTCTATTAAATGAGGAGGAGGAGATGTCCGTATCCGGTTTTCTGTTACAGGGTACGACGTACCTACTCCCACCTAAAATGCCTGCCGTTTGGAATGGAGGGGATGTGGGGGAAGAAAGACCGAAGAAAAGTTATGTCTTTGTTTGTATGATTCTTCGTGTCACTCGAACCCTCTTTTTGAATGCCATGTATGTTTGGCATTGAAGATTTGGCCATGTCATGAACGCGAAATTATGTTAGGCATTCAATGCAATTCCCAAACCAACTGCCCCCCCTTGATTTTGTTTTTTTTTCTTTTTTTTTTCACTTTTTGGGTTGTTACAAAATTGAAAGAAGGAGCACTCTCGGTTTCTTGTCGAATTTTAATTTTTTTTTTTACAAAAGGAAAAAAAAATTAGAATATTAGTTACTATAAATATTAGTGTCTGTATAGTTTTTTTAAATTTTTTTAGAAGTGTTTGATAGTAAAAAGGATGTAAATTTACTAGAACGTACAAATCTTTGAAGACTTTTAAAGGTGTTATTGTTCGATCAATTAGTTCGAATAAAGCTAGAGGCATTCTGATTATTTGATAGCCATCTGGTTCTAATGACAGTCGATCAAAATGCAAACATCTCACGCCGTGGTTCGCCGTTTCGTGTTATGTTCGGGAAATTACTAAAGCGTGTATCTCTTTCGTGTAAACTATCCAATTTAGGTGATTCGTGTGTTTTCAGAAAGTTTAATTTTTAAGTGTTCTTAAAACACATATGACATCACGATTTCTTGTAGTTCGACAAATTTAACTAATGAACTCAAACCAACCATAGCATCAGTCCAGAACAATAGGAGTTAGCGATCATTTAGAATGGTGACTCGCCCTTATTTCGACTCATTTTATTGTTTAGGGTTCTTGCTAAGTTCCAAATTTTGTCCGGACAAAACTTTCATACTTTGTCTTATTCCAATACCTCTTTTATTAGTTAATGAGAACTTTGATCAAATTTTGTTGTTGATCACCCAATTGACCCGATTCTTAATGCACCAAAAATCTTGTTACTTGCATTTCATGAGAATGCTATATGATTAGGAAAACTTACAAAACTTTTCTGCATTGTCAAGATCGAATGATCTGATAAGAAAAATATAATATCTTAAAATTGTTTGGTCAAATATAAATGTTGAAAGAAAGCTCTTCAGGAGAATTGTCAAAATTTTACT